GAGCGGGGTGACCGCCTAATGACTTACCTTGTGACCGACCAGAGTCTGCTGCAAGACGCCGAGCCCCGTCTGGGATGGTTGATGCAAGGACGCACGTTCCGCCGCCACCCTCGTCTGTCGAAGATCCCAGACGCGTAAACTCTTATCCAGGGACCCGGAAACGAGCTGGTTCCCATCGGGGGAGAAAGCAACGCTGTATACCGAATCCTTGTGCCCTCGGAGTCGCTCAACTTGTTGTCCTGTTCGCGTGTCCCATACACGGACGATAGTGTCCAGACTGCCGGCGGCTACCAATCGGGAATCGGGCGATACTGCACGCGCGCGACGGCAGCGATGGATCAGCACACAGGAGATGCGTCCCAGGCCCTCCCAAAGGGGACTTACGTGCGACCGAAGTGATCCCGGCATCAATAGGTTGTCCGTTTTCCCCAACGACGGTATCCTCAATTCTCAAATCAAACACACAATGCCCGCTCGTGATATCCCAGATCCTGGCGCTCTTGTCTCCGGAACCGGAAACGAGGAACTGCCCGTCCCGGGAGAAATCGAGCGAGTAGATTTCTTGGTTGTGACCGACGAGGAGATGCTTGATACGTTTTTTGGAAATGTCCCAGATCTGCAAGAGGGGCAAAGGGTTGGGCGCGAAGAGCAGGCGGGAGGCACGGGCCACGGAGACGTACCCTGATTTGTCGATCTTCCGCACCCGTTGCAAGGTACTTGCCATCCGGGCTGAAACATATACTCCGAATGTACAGATCGCCCGCCTGTGATGCTGCTTCGTCCACGAGGACACTATCGGCGCGAGCGAGAGGGTCAATACCATCAGTCCCCGCGATGGGCAAGTACTCCAAAGCCAGGGCTCCCGCGACTCACTGCGTCTTTACACCCGTCTTTGTATCGTAGATCTGGGCGGTACGGTTACACCCCGTGGCCAAGTACTGCCCGTCATTGGAGAAGCGCACACAGCAGACGACGCTGCGGGGGGGGGGTTAACGGGGTTAGGTCAGCGATCATGGGGAGCCCGTAAGCGCCGGCCGAGGGAAGGAAAGGAGCGCACCTTTCATGAACGAGCGTATGAACGAGTCCGACATCCAACGTCTTCTTACTCCGGGGACTCCACACGGCGAACCATTCACTGCCCTCTTTTTGAATTCCCGCGGGACGCTCTCCGGATCGAGGTCTGACAAGATCGTCGGCGGGGAGGATTTGGTCGCGGCGACGACGACGGCGGTGGAAGTGGAAGAAGAGGTGTTGTTCGTCGATGTGGTGGTCGAGGGGGGAACGGTACGTTCCCGATCCGGGTTCGGCGTGACGGCATGGCGTGATGGGTAACCTACCGGGCGCAGCAGGGGGGGGGGGCAGGAATCTCAGCCGGGAATCCTCCGCAAGCCAAGCCAAACGAAACGAAACGAAAAAGAAAAAGAAAAAAGGCTCACCAGCAGCACCATTCTTCGCGGACCCCGGTTTCTCATCAACCTCCATTTTCGCATACCCGCGATAGACCATAGCCTCCCTCTCGCGTTCCCTCTCAGCTGCAGTGATCCGATGACCCTCCCCCTCCCTTCCTCCTTGCCCGCCGACGGCGTCCCGCTCATGTTGATGTGCGGCGGCAGCGGCGGAGGAGGAGGCGACGATCGATGGCGCTCCAGGAGGCGCTGGCATAGAACTTGGAATACTTCCTATCCCGCCACCTACGAGTCCAGTAGGAGCAGGGACGGACGACGACGCTGGGCTTGGACCCCCACTTCCGGCAGCAGCTCCGCCGGTGAGCGTCGGTTGTCCCCCGCCCCCGCGGAGCCGGAGGCGGCGTGTGTCCCGTTCGGAAGAAGGATAGGACCGCCGCTGCCGGTACGTGTGAGATCTAGCTCACGGCGTAGACGGAGACAATCCGCTTCGTACCTGTTTAACGGGGGGGGGGAGGTTAGCGAGTGTCGGCTGAATGACGCGATCTGTGCGAAACGCCCCCTGCCAGGGACCCCTCTTCTCTTTCAACGACCGCGCAAGAGGAGGTCCTTTAGACTCGTCGCCTGAGGCTCTCCCTCGCCCGCTTCTCGCGCTCTACTCTCTCCGATCCCTTCTGCGCGCCTGGATCCTCCTCCTCTCGCCCGCCCGCCCGCCCGCCTTCCACTCCCACTTCGCTCGCTTCGCTCACTCGCGCGCTCGCTCGTCGGCTTACTCACTCATTACGTATCTTGGCATGCTGCGACTCCAACTCATACAAGCTCTGGCGAATCAACGCGATTTCCTGGATCTGTAGTTGTACTGCACGCGCGTACGGGGGTCAGTCCACGTCGGATCACAACGAGGTAAAAGGGAGGGGACGCACTCTGTTTCTCAAACTCGTCACGTTGGCCCTTGATGACTATGCATTCCGCCTGCAGCGCCTCGAATTCGCCCTTGACGAGATCGAGGTACTCGGTGAGTCGGTCATGGGGCACGACGCCGGTGGAGGCGGCCATGATATGCGGCTGCTGCTGTTGCGGGTGTGGGTGTTGCGCCGGGGGGAGCAGATGGTGGTGGTGGTGATGGTGGTGGTTTCCTGCGACGGGCGGCGGCGGCGCGGGAAGCGGCGGCGGACTGGCGCCTGCGGTGGCGGGGATGTCCAGGCCTCTCTGGGGCGGGGGCGCTTGCATCGGGAGGCAGGGGTCGTGCTGTACGGGCGCGTTTCAACCACGCTGAAACACAGGCCACATCACTCGCAGCGTACATGACCGCATCCGCCAGGGGAGCCGGCCGCACACTTCCCACGCTGGCGCGCCAGGAAAAGCAATACAAAGCCTCGAACACGAGTACACCGGCCGCGCGCTAGCAACAAGCCCCGATCCGGGTACTACCGCTGCCTCGCGACGGAGAGCGACGGGGCATGTCCGTGGGTCATCGTGACTACTACTACAACTACCGCCTACCGCCTACCCCTCCTCCTCCTCCTCGGAATCATCCCCGCCGGGCTGCTCCCAAGGCGCACGCTCCATCACCAAGCTTCCGCCCGCATCCACCACCGTCCGCCACCCCTGCGCATCGAGCGAGACGTGCTTGCGCGGGTACGCAGTGAACAGCTCGAGATGCGGCTGCCCGCGTCCCGCCGCGGGGTACTCGGTCGCGCTGAACCCTGCTGGTAACCTCGCCTCCGTGTCCTCGTCCCCGTCCCCGTCTAAAAGCAGCGTCTCGGCCCAGATGTACACCTCCCGCGCCGTGTCCATGTGGACGGGGAAAGCACGTACGGCGGGTGCACCGTGTGGGAGTCTGATTTGCACACGGATCGCTTGCTTGGCCTTGACCTGTTCCAATCCCGGTTCTTGCCGTAGTAAATAACGTTTAGCGTACCGCCTCCATTCTCGTATATCCACCAGGTCCTTTTCCCTTTGCTCGCGTTCCCTTTGTTCAATCTCCCTCGCTTCGGCCACGCGGAGAGCCTCTTCTCGTTCCATACGTGCCCTTGCTTCGTTTGCACGACGGATCGCAAGGATCTTGTCCCGATCCCGACGTTCGGTTTCCGCAAGCGCACGGTCTTGTTCCTCCCTCACGCGACGGGCTTCTTCGAGCGCGTGACGTTCCCTGCGGAGCCGGTTTAGGAACGGCCGGGTACGTGGGACGATCGTCGTAGTGATTAGTTGGATGAGGGAGGGCGTCGACGTCGTCGTCGACGGTGAACCCTGAACGGTCGTCAGGATCGTGAATTTTGAATTCGAGCTCGTGCTGCTGCTGCTGCCTGACGACGAGGACGGGGTGACGGGCATGAGCGAGAAGAAAGAGATGGCAGGGTACGTTGTCGCTTGGAGTGTTTGCGAGACTGGAAACACGCGCGCATCAGCCACTGCGCTCACCGGTCCCCGCCCGCGAATGCTTACCCTGATACCCTTCCCTTTCTCGCACATCGGCACCCCAGATCAGAATATCGTTCTCCCGCAGGCATTTTACGAATTCCTCGTTGGTAAGGACGTTCCTTTTGCGCAACCGAGATCAGCAACCGCTCGCCGGGGGGCATCCAGCCTACCCTACCTACCTCTTGAACTCGAGGTCATCCTCGTGATCAGAACAACAAAGCACTACGCACCCTACCTTCCTTTCCGCCTTGAGATGATCCAGAAACTCTTTATACGTCCCTTTGGGCGCATCCTCGTCGCCGCCTTGTCGCCAGAAATCAGGCAAGTACCCGTCCGGGCATTCCTGACGGAGCGCGTCCACAAAGGGGAGTCGCCGCGAGGACAGGGGGTATCCGGACGACGAGGAGCCGCCGCCGGAGGGGGGAAGGAGGAAGCGTGGCATGTAAGGCAATAACCCGAGTGGAAGTACATTCCGAACTATCGGTCGCCATCATATACATCAACGCGCGTTCTCGCTCACTCACGAAGCGGAACAAGGAACGCAGACTCACCAAGCAAATACCAAAGCCCCGAGATGAGCCGGAGGATAAACCGAACGGGCCACGTCAACGCACGTATCGGTGGAATCCCGACACGCGCACCCACAGGTGGTGGGCGTCCTCCCGTCATTGGGTCCCTCTGACGGTCTTTCGAGCCGCTCGGGCGCGTGCCGACGGTGGTGGGAGCTGCCGTGTGGTCTCTTGACAACGCGGGGGGTTCCCTTGCCTGCTGCTGCTGCCGTAAAGTATCCGGGTTACTGAAGATTAGGTTTGCGGCTTGCTTTGGACCACTCCGGATGGGGTCAGCACTTGGTGCGCGCAACGGCAAGGGAGGGCAGGAGGGAGAAAGGAAGGCATACCTCGACGTTCCACTCGGTCGAACGTAGGACTTGCTCGATGCTTCGTCGGCCCATGGGCGTCTCGGTGGCGGTGATGGCGCATAGCTGGTCGATCGCTGCGTCCCTTTCCGGGTGGGGGGATGCCATGGCGTTGTAGCTGGCGATAAGGGTGGGCCGGTATAGCTCATGTTCGACGGGTGACGAGGTTGATGATCACGGCCTTCAACCTGTCGGACAGTCCCGCTCGCGTGGAGGCTCCCGGTTGCTTCCGCGACCACCCCCGACGGGGACAAAAAGAATGAGCTCAGAGGGAATCGAACCCTCACCAGCTGCTTGGAAGGCAGCTATTCTACCACTAAACTATAAGCCCGCTGTGGAGGATCACGTGTCACAGCCTGTACTGTCGAGTCACGTGGACCACTCCCATCACCCCCCTTATGACGTCACGGCTGCCTGCGTTGGAATGAGCGTAATGGCCGCCTGCGTTGGAATGAGCGTAATGTCGGAACGGAAAGGAGCCTGCAAGATCCCATTCCAACGGGGATAACGCTTCTCTCGCCACTGCCTCCTGGCTATATAAACCCCCAGAGTATCCACCATGAGCCGACCCTCTGCTACAACCATCAACCAAACAACAGCGCATCATGGCCCAAGTCCCCATTCCCGCCAACACCCCCGAACAGTACAAGCCAGGATGGATAGGCTCGACGGACAAGAAGATGGCCGGGCAGATGCAGGAGAACATCCCCGGGTTGCAGCACAAGATGCTGGACACGCCGTTGGATGACTTGCTTGTTAATGGTGAAAAGTACAAGGCGGCGGGTAAGCTCGTGGGTAAGAACGCTGTCATTACCGGTGCGGACAGTGGAATCGGCCGAGCGACTGCTATTCTCTTGTACGTTGCATCCAAGTGACGTGTCTGTGCGCCGCAACTGACCACGTTCCTCCAATGACAGTGCGTACGAAGGCGCGTCGTTGCTGCTTCATTACGTCAAGGAAGAGCAAAAGGACATGGACAACCTCACCGCGTTCCTCAAACAGAAGAGCCCCTCGACAAAGTTTGAAACCTTTGTGGCCGATCTGAGCGTAAAGGATGAATGCCATGCTCTCGCCGCCAAGGCCAAGGAATACTTCCACGGAAAAGTCGACATCCTGTTCAACAACGCCGGCACCCAAAACGAAGTCGAGTCCCTTGTGGATCTACCGGACGAGCAATGGGAATACGTATTCAAGACCAACATCCACGCCATTTTCTACCTCACCAAAGCGCTTCTCCCGCTGATGCCCTGGGGTTCGAGCATTATCAACAACGCCAGCATTAACCCATTCGTCGGGCACCCCAAGTTGGTCGACTACACCGCCACAAAGGGCGCCATCGTGGGGTTCACCCGCGCCCTGTCTAATCAGGTCGTCAAGGAGAAGGGGATCCGCGTTAACGCCGTCTGCCCTGGACCGATTTTGACTCCTTTGGTAGGCACCCCCACCTCCCTCACAAGTACGGGAGACGTGCTGATGCCTCCCCCTTCCTCCCCCGGGTACACGAGTAGGTCATCGCTACCATGGGCAAGGAATCCCTCGAATCGTTCGGTATCTCCAGTACGTCTCTATCTCCCCTCCCCATCGCACACGTATACTGACCCCCTTGATCGTCGAACAGCCCCCATCGGTCGTCCCGGCCAACCAGTGGAAGTCGCAACATGTGTCGTCTTCTTGGCGAGCTACGACTCGACCTACGTCACCGCTCAGTGCATGTAAGTTCGCTCTCAGTACGGTGGACCCGGTCAGGCGCTGGGTAATCGTTACTGATATACCGTTTTCTGCGTGTGATAGTCACGTTAACGGCGGTTCGGCGTATTAAGGGGCAGCGTGTCTGACCGACTTGTGCCGTTAATCGTCGCATCTACAGAAACACAAGACATAAGAGTATGAAACCAAGTTGTACAAGGAAATATACATCAAAAGTGTGGATAGTAATGCAAGCCAATACGGTCGATGTTCATCAACGATAGGGCACGTAATCTGGAAGGAATTTGATCGCAAGGCTCGGTACACAGCGCCACACCGGATGGCTAGTATTTTGATCCAGAAAGATTGCGCATCGTGTAGCTGGTTGGGTCGGGTCATCACAATTCCTAGTATGAGAAAATTGCCATCTCCCTGATAGAAAGATAGGAAAAGGTGCTGGTGCATTCGCAAAGGCAGCTGGTTTGTGTTGTATATATTCGGTCGTCGTCTAGTCGACCTGAACATAGTTCCGAGAGATAGTCGCTCGTCACAGCGTATTGAACCGAGGAATTAAAGGGGAAAGGCGCGGGAGGTACTTTGGTGATACTGTAAAGGCAGGCCAGGGAGCAGAAGGAAGAAAATATAAGATTTTCATACATTCTGTCCATTATATAAGACAAGAAACCATAAATGCACCTCTACAGGGACCTGTCACGCCATGACGTGGTCTTCGCAACGCATTGAGCATCTATAATCATGAACGGCCAAACCATCGCCTAGACCCCAAAACCCATCCTGGATGGATAAAGTTGAACACGGCCAAGCACAAGATCATGGGCAAAAAGTCGAGTGTATTGAAGTAGACTTCATGAGTAATGCTATCAAGGAAGGATAGAATAAGTGCCGTACTATTGGCAGCGTTTCCATCGGAACTTACAGGTAGCCATCCCAGCCTACGTCCGCGCGCAGAAACACATTAGATGAGTCTCTGTCCACTCATGTTGATTCTTTGTCACTCACCTTGCAACAACTCGATGGTTCGGTAGACGCCTCGCATCACAATCATCAAAGCACTGAAGAACACGGTGGCGAGCAAGATCATCCATCGCTTACGTTCATTCTGCTCATCGTCGGACGTCGTGGACGATCGAAGAGGAGAGTCCGTCTTCTCAGTCTTTTCCGCAAGATTGCGTGCTCGACGGATGTACGGTCTGTTTGAAGCTAATCGGAGTATAAAGTCTGCACCTAGGATAACGAAGACTACTATCGCCGCTAGCTGGAAGACGATACCGGCCACCACTACAGCGTTGTACTCCGTTAGCGCCCTGCATAATTGCATCACTAGCCAGCAAGGAAAACATACTGATATTAGTGGAAGTCGTCGTATCCTCATGGTTTTGGGACTGAACTGCTGCTCTCCCGCCACCAACAGCCTAGAACGAGGACGATCAGTACGAACGGCAGATGTGTAAGATCACGATAAACGAACCTGAATGACCAAGCTGATGACATCGGCGATCACGAACAAGATCATGTACCACTTGCTGTTCAACAAAGAATACTCTTCTCCGAGATGCTTGATACACAGACCCAGAAGGGTGTAATCGAATGCAGAGAAAAAGCATGGAGCGAGAATCAGACTATTCATGACGAGAACGATTGTCAGGCGCGTAAATCAGGTCGACTTCTCTAGGGAGACTGACGTGGTAATCTGCATCAAGAAAGGCTACAGGTAGCGATATGTCAGAAAGGCAAGGCACATTATCTGCCATTTAGCGGACGTACCTGGATATTCAGCACGTTCTGGGACGACCAGTATCTACCTGCCCATCCAACAATTTCTAGCAAACCACCGGGAACGAGGGTGGCGAGGATCCACCAGTAGTTGGGCTGGCGGTTGACGCTTGCCAGAGGTTCCGATCCATCATTTGTGATAGAGAGTGCTCGAGAGCGCCTTCTGCGTTGTAGACTGTAGTAGAGCACCTGTGCGATGTGGACCGCGGTCGACACGGAGAAAAGGACGATCGCGGTGATGCACACGCCAGAGGACGGGATGTAGCCGTAAGGAGATTCACCTGAACAGGATGGGTTAGACGGGATGGGGAAATCGTGGTAATGGAAGGCGGGTGCTCACGGTAACGTTCTGCGCGAGCGAGCAGGTGTGCTCCTGGAGAGGAGTTCATGGTGACTTGCGGCAAGTGTCTGATGGGTAGTCACTCGCCACTAACTTCAAGGAGTTTATGATAGTCAACAGCTCCGATACCCCTATCCTCTTTCTATCCCGCCCGAGCAAATCGAATCAGCCATCCATCAGACACTTCCGCATCGTGCTGGACTTGTGAGACATTGTAAAACGCATTCTCGGCCATTGTCTGCCGTGTTTACGTAAAACGGCAGCGCCGTATTACCGGGCCGTGGTAATCTGCAACACCGGCTCCACGTGGCTGCGCTTCCGCGATTCGTCGAACAAGTTCCGCGAGCTGTTGAGGAACCGAGAGCCGAAGTATAGCTTGCGTGTTCAGCTGAGCTGCGTGCAAAGCGGTGCGTCCATGTCTACGGTATGATACCCAAGTCATGATGGGGCGGTCAGTTAAGCTAGCTTGACACTGAGCTGTATTGAAGGAACTTTCGAAGGATCGGTACTACTGACATCGCACTATCTATGGTCCACGCAGTTTCTACGTCTCGCTTTCTCCTGTTTTAGTCATATACTCCCCATAGGGACACTATTGAACGGCATTCTGCATGATGTACCCTACGGCCCGGGGAGCTACCCACATGGAACAAACGAACAGATCTTGACTGCTAGCTTTAAACAACGGGCACCATATAGCATGGCCGGATGACGTTGCAACGGCCTCATGACTCCGAAATGTGCACAGCGATGGCATTACTGAGCACACAGCTGCGGAAGCGGCGCCGCTGATACGTCGGCGTGTGTAACGATGATTCGTGGGGCAGCACAGCTGGTAGCACCAGAAAAAAGAGCTCTGCAGAGAAGGGAAACGATAGATCGCGACACGACGGATTCGTTACATGATCAAAAAGAATGAAAGACATGGGGATTCGATCGAGTTTCTCGGTGACGCCAACAAAGCGCAACCAGCACTATGTGTGCGCTCCATGAGCCCCCCGAAACCTCGAATGAACCCCCTCTTCCCCGCATCCCTCCACAAATCACATCGGATTTCCACCGCCCAGCCAGCTGGCGGAACTCGCGCCGCGACTTGTTCAAGTTTCCACCATCACTATATCATCCACACTGGATCGACTGCCCTTCAAGGATCCTTCCCTCAAAATACCCTAAAGGTGTGTACTTTCTCTTCAGAACGCTGCGTCCCTGTTGTATCATCTAACGTCTGCCTTTACAGCCGTTCTTCAAAATGTCCGAGCAAATCGTCTACAAGGGTGCTTGTATCGGTCACGGTGGTGCCGTCACCACCGTCGCTACCTCGAGCGAAAACCCCGACATGATCTTGACTGGTTCCCGAGGTTAGTCAGAAAGGATATCTGTGGATTGGCAGTGGAATGGGAGCTTCAGGCGGGTCACGGTGCGGATGACGGGATGTGAGGAATCAGTTGGAGATAGCGATCGGAGGACCCGCCGGAGATTATTTGCCATTCTCAGGGCAAGTCAACCTTTGA